CCACATCAGGTATCCCGACACACATGGTGACACACACCACCAACCCCACTGTCACCCGAATACGCAGAGACGGAGCTTGGAATGGCCCTCAGAGACACCAGGCCGCATCCAGTGACATACCGTCCGGAGACACAGGGACATTTGGAAAAGGGACCCACACACACGCACAGCCACACTGCCGTCCTCGGGAAAATGGTGGCTCTAAGGCTCACCATGCCGACGAACACACATGCGAATCGGGGAGTCTCCCCTGGCCCCTTCGCCTCCACATCCAGGGTTTTGGGGGTAGGAAAGTGCAGACACCCCCTCCTTTTTCCCACCTCAGCTAGGAGGGACAGGAGCCCCATCCTCAGCACCGCGTTGGAGGGAAGCACGGTTGTCCGGGCCTCCTCACCCTCTGTCGGTCCAGCTGGAGGAAAGTGTGAGACCCCACACTTGTACTTCAAGAGCAGAGGACAGGAGCCAAGCAGACCAAAAAGGCCAGGCTCCCAGCGGGTTGGAAGTGGAAGTAGGCGGTCAGTGCGGGGGGGATTTCACTGTCAGCCACAGCTGCATGCCCACCCCCTGCACATACCTGAAACGCCCACTTGACCCTGCCAAGTGACCACGTAGGGTCCCACACATGCATCCTGTCCCCATGGTGGTCCCAGGTGACAATGCCCTGACGCAGATGCAGAAATGATTCTGGAGCCATGCAGACATCCCTAAGGTCACCACTGGGACCCACCCAGGTCTCTAGGCTCTTTGCCCCACTCACATTTGGGCACTCATGTGCACAGACACTCCTGCACGTTCTGGCACAAGGCCTCAGAGCCCAGCCCCAAAGCGGGCCTGGTCGAGGTCAGGAAAAGGGCCAGGGCAGCCAGAGCCCCCAAGAATGGCATCTGGTCCCCACGGGGCAGCCCAGGCCTTGGCATTCTCCCTGCCCCCTCCCCTACCCCTACCATCACCTCTCCCCGCCTTGCACCCCTGCCGTCCCCTACTTGGCCTACAGGACCCCACCTAAAGGAAAACCGCTGGGCCATGAGCTGGCCTCTTCCCTTCCGAACTCTTCTCTTGCTTCCTCCTCCAGACAGTCCATCTGGATTTCTATGGTTGGGAGGTGCCTGACCCTGGCTTCCATCCCTCTGAAGCAGCCTACCCCCCGGGGCTGGCCTAATGATGATAACCAAAATGACACGTCATTCCTTTTCTTGAGCACGTGCTATGTGTGCCAGGCATGACACTGAACCTAATCACAGCATGAGAGGTAGGTACTATTATTGCCCATTTTGTTTTTTAATTTTTATTTATTTATTTTTTTATTGCCCATGTTACAGACCAAGAAAGTCCTGTGTTTCAGGTCACAGGATTTAAGATGCAGAGCTGGAGCTCAAACCCTGTGCTGTCTTATTTGCAAAGCCTAACACTCAACCTCTGCTCCCACAGCTCCACCTGGGAGCCCTTGAGGCCACACAAGACATTCTTGGCTCGCCAGGACCCGTGGCTCCAGCCCCCAGAGAGAGGGGAGCCTCTTGCCCCCATGTTAACTCAGCAGAGCCCTCGGCTCTGAGCTCAGTCTGTCCAAGCTCAACCTAACCCCAGGCATGGCCTACTCTGTCCCAGCTCGTGGCCACACACACCTCCCACCCCAGCAGCGGACATGAAGCATGCAGGGCCAGAGCCAGAGAGAAAATGTGCCATAAAAAGGAGGCCCCTGCTGGTGCCGGGACAGGGAGCAACAGCTTCACAGGGACAGAGGGGAGAGAGACCCAGGGAGAGAGCTGGGGGGGCATCAGGGAGGCCCCAGTCCATTCCCCTCCCCTGAAGGAGTGTGTATGTGGCTGCGTGGAAACAAGGGTACGTGAACGTTCCACTGCTCCCGTGGGGCCATGTGGCGGGTAATGTCGGTGAACATGCATGTCTGTATACACACCCAGGTAAGCCAACAGCCTTGTGTCCTGTGTAAAGGTATGTGCCCTTGGGTCTGTGTAAGTGTGGGGGTGAACACACACTTGAGTCAGCCTGTATTTGAATGTGTCTGGATGGTATCGCTGTGTCTCCATGCGTTTATGTCGATATACATATCCCATCTCAAGGGGTTTGTGTGTATGTGCCAGTGGGGAGAGAACACAGGTCCACCGTTTCCTGTGTCCGTAAGTTCGTCTGTCCATGGCCGAACTTGCTGTGTCTGGACATCAGCATAAACATGTCGTTCATGTCCTCATCTTGGCGGCAGCGGTGGTGTATGTGTGTGTCCACATCCTGTGTGCCGCTGTTTGTTAGGGGTGCAGGGCCATCCATCCACCCCTTTCCCCTCCACCGAGGACTCAGGCCCATGGCTGCAGTGGGCTCAAGCAGCTCCAGCAAGCACCCCGCCCAGCCGCCCTGGATTTCGATGCTTTTTCCAGAAGGAGATTTCCCCCCACACCCGCCCTTCCCCCTCGCCCACAGTGCCTTTCCCCACCAGGGCCCCGCTGCTCCAAGCTCGTTCCTGCTCAATCATTTATTGACTTTAAAATCGAAGCCAATTCTGGTTTGAAAAAAAGAAGAGAGAGAGAAAGAGAGACACACACCACACACACACACACACACACACACACACACAGAGGCCAGAGAAGAGACAGAGTCCGAGACTCAGGGGGAGGGGGGGAGCAGAGATGGGGCCAGAACCAGAATCAGAGAGAGACAGGGAAAGACAGGGACAGTCAAAGATATAGGACAGAGAGACGGATGGAAAAGGGGCAGACAGAGATAGAGGAAAAGACAGAAACTGGCAGAGCAAACTATGGAAGCAGAAAGATTTATAAAAACAGACTAGCTCCCAGAAATGTGGCCGTCAGGAGGGGAAGGCTGGACCCTGCTGACCAGCCAACAGCAGCCTCCTGCCCAGAGCTGAGGGGCTCAATCTAGCGAGTCCGTGCCCCCTTCTCTCCCCCGACGCCCTGTCATACTCAGGCCTGTGACACAGAGCTGAGCCCTTGCTCCCTTCGAAGGTGTCAGAGAGCCAAGCGCTGGCCATCACCCTGAGTCTGGGGGCTGCCCCAGCCCCTCCCTAGTCTTGTCACCAGTGGATCAGCTGGTATTTTCTTTCCCAAGGTCTGTGACATCTGAAGAACCAAGTTCTCACCCAGGCTGAGGAAGAGGGTAGGCCAGGGAGCCGAGGTGGCGGCTGGTGGGCCAGGGGCCGCTCAAGCATGAGGTCTTGGTCCCACTAGGCCCCGAATACCAGCCACATCAGCCAGCCAAATGTGGCACCAAAGGCAGCCACAGCTCAGACCCAGCTAGGTGGGTAGGGTCGTCATGCGGGGGCCCAAGATGGGTGGCCGGCCAGTCAGAGGCACAGATATGGGGGTCCCCCACACCGCCATAGTGGCCAGAGTGCCTGCTCACACCTGCATGCACACCGTGATACATACGTGCGCATGTGTACCTCATCAACACATACTCACATCCTATACAGGAAGACCCTCACCCTGGGCCATACACGTGTCCATACACACAGGGCTGCCCACGGCTGATCCACAGGACCACAAGCAGACCCCCGAGATTGACTCACACACACACACTTGCATCTGTGGATACGAGAGTGTGGTGTGGGCATTCTGTTTGTTACGCGGGGGGCTGACACACACCCCTGACATACCCTCTAGCCCCTCGCCATTACTACACCCACATAGCAGCCATATTCACGTGGACTCCCACTCCCAGCCTGGGCACACTTGGCACACAGCTGGCAAGGCTCAGACTGGCAGAGGGGACAATTAAGACCCAGGCCTTGCCTAGAGACTCCCCCCACAAACGCAGGCCCTGCTGGCAGGCAGGGCTAGGAAGCCCCCAGGTGTCGCCTCTGCGGAGTCTGGGATGCCAGCTATAGCGTGGCCCAGCAGACAGCGCTACCAGGGCTGCTGTGGGGCTCTGGGCAGCTTCTGTGCCCTCTCAGAGCCAGGAGCCACCACCGGAGAGGGTGGGGTGGCAAGGCAGGCATCCCCTGGGCCTTTGCCGCCTGCCGAGCGCGGTGCAGGGAACTTCGCTGGAGGCGGGACGCGCTTTCGCAGCGCGCCAAGGTCGCATAGCGCCCGCGGCTGACCCGGCGGCGTGGCCCCAGCACCGTCGGCAGTGTCCGCGGCTCCCGCCAGCCCCTCCCGCCTCCGGGTAGCGGGATGGGATTCCCCAGACCCGCCTGGTTCACCGAGCGGCAGCCGGGGTGGCTGGGGCCGGAAAGTTTGCGCCGAGGAAAGTTTTTTTTTTTTTGGGGGGGGGGGTCGCCGCGGCTGCGGCGTCCAGGGTCGGCGAAGAGGCGCGGCCAGGGCTGGCAGCCCGCCCGCCCCTCCCTCCCCTCCCCTGCCCCACAGAAATTTGGGAGCCCCGCCATTTTCTTAGCCCCGCTCCCATGTGAGGCCTGAACAAAGACTTTGGGGAGACGCCCGGGCTGCTCGGCCCGCCCGGGGCACCCCGGCGGCACGCAGGGGCCACCACCACGCACGCCGGCCGCTGCCACCCTCGGGAACCGCTGCGCCCGCCCCAGGGAGCGCCGCCAGACACAGTCCCCGCACTGCGCCCTCGGGACCACCCCCTGCCACTCTGTCATCCCGCAAACACTGCCAGCGGCCACGCTGTCCGGGTGCACGCCACAGTCGCCCACAGGTCGGCGGGAGTCCCGCTGCCCACTGCACCCCAGTCGAGCGCGCGCGCGCGCACACACACATACATACACACATACACACACACACACAGACACACACACGCACTCCCGCTCCGCGCTACAGGGGCAGCGCCACGCACGCAGCCGGCAGCCCCCGGAACCCCCAACAGGAGTCTGCCTCCTGGCCAGGGTCGCACGCGCACGGGGGCGCCCGCACGCGTGGCCGGACTCCCCACCGTACGGCTTGCACCCCTCGGCCGCCCGCGGACTCACTCCCCCCAGCCGCCGCGCGCCCCCTCCGCCCTCCCGCCCGCGCCGCCGGCCGGCCTCCTGCGCCCGCTCCCCTCCCGGGTCGCGCGGGGGCGGCGGCCGGTACCTGGGTGAGGCAGTACGGGGAGTACATAGCTGGGCGCCCGGGCGGGAGCGCGGCGGCCGGCCGCGGCGAGGGGAGGCCCGGCAGGCGGCGGCCGCGCTCGGGCTCCGGCTCTGGCTCGGTTCCTCCGGCCTCCGCCGCGCTGCGCCCGCCCGGCCCGCGGCCCCGCGCTCGGCCCGGCGCCGCTCCGCCTCGCCGCTCGCAGGCTCGGCCCCGCCGGATCCGGGGCCGCCGCCGCCGCCGCGCTCGCCGCTGCCTCTCGCGTCCGCCGCCGCAGCCGCCGCCGCGCGTCTACTCCATGCCGCCGCCGCTCGGCCGGTCACCCTCGCCCGCCGCCGCCGCCGCCGCCGCCGCCGCCGCGCTGTGAAAGTGAAAGTTTAGACAAAGTTTGGAAGCGGCGCACTCCGGGGAGAGGGAGCGGGCGGGCGGCGCGGGCGGGAGGAGGGGCGCGGGGAGGGGCGGGCAGGGCGGGGGAGCGACGGCCGGCGCGCACACACACACGCACGCACACACACACATATGCACGCACACATGCACACACACACACACACACACACACAGACACGCGCGCGCGGGGGCGCACGCCAACACGGCCACCCCGACACGTGCTGGCCCGCGTTCCAAAGCAGACACACGCTGACACGCAGTGAGGTTCGGAGCCCTCCATACATGTCACGTACAGAACGCATTGCCACACGTTCCACATTCCAACAAAGCACTCGCAGTCACCTACGCGCACACAGCATAGGCACACAACCCACACACATGCACCGACACCCCCCCCAAGACTAGGAAAGCAACCCACAACCCACACACTGACATGCACACAGGGCCCACCATCACGATACCCACACATATGCATTTCAACAACAAACCATGTTTAGACTCCCAGATACAGGTGGACACACTCCAATATGGGCCTCACACAGACACACACTGATACACACCAAGACACACACACCAGTGCATGCTGACATATACAGATTCATGCTGACACACTGACACTGGCATGATCACACAACCACATCCTCACACACTCCAGGCACACAACTCCTATACATAGACACCCGAATGCACACACAACACACGCACAGAGCTGCACCAAAACAGATGCACTAATGCACTGTCACACAAACACAAACCACCAGACACCAGGACATACATGCCAGACACAGGGAAAGCACTGACCCTGATACAAAGTGACACTGGCAGAGACAACAGCACACAGGAACACATATCACACACCTGATGCCCAGCTGTACACAGGTATCACACACATACACCCAGGCCCCTTCCACGCCCCACTCCCAACACACACACACACACACACACACTTGTACTTGGCCCTGATCATGGACACACACACAAATCTAACAAGGACCACACAGCCCAACCATCAGGGACAGAAATGGGCATTGAGGCCTCAGGTACATGTATTCACACCCCCGGTGAGGCTCCATTCCTCTCATGCAGGCCCCTGGTCCCCCATTTCCAGAGCAAAGAGGAATGGGGGGAAAGGTTTGTGCTGAGGACCCTGGCATGGGGCCAAGAGGAGCCCTTAAGTGACCCCCCAGGGTGGGCGGGGAGGTGGTGCCTGCAGCCCCCAGGCAGCTCCTGCTGAGGCAAAGCTTCCTCCTGCTGCCAGGTGCAGCCAGCCCTTTCTCACCCTCCTGGAGCAAGAAGCTGTGGCAGTTCTCAGCTATGCATTGTCTGTTGGAGGGGTGTCGATGCCCAGGTGTGTGTGTATGTCCATGTGAAAATATGCCTGAGGGTATGTGTTCCTGGTCACATTGCGTCTTTGAGGCAGGGTGGCCAGAGTTGTGTTCTTGGGAGTCTGGGTGGGTCCGGGTGTCCTCTGGGGGAAAGGAGGTGCAGGTCAGTGTATGTCCGTCTAGGAGTCTCTTGGAATGGGCCAGTGTGGTGTAGCAGTGATGCGGGTCTGGCTGTGTACCTGGGGTGTCTGTGAGTCAGAGGGTGAGTGTCTGCCAGGCTCTGTGCCTAGCACTGGGGACATAGTAGGGAACAAGACAAAAGACCCTGTGCTGGGGGGCGCTGACTTTCTAGTGGGAGTTAGGTATAGAGGTCACCTTGGCAGTGTCTGGTCTTTGACAGGAAGTGCTGGCGGTCAGGGTGCCTAGGTGAATATGTGTGTGTGTATTGAGCTGACCACAGTGCGTACATCAGCTGTGAGGCTCTTTCTGTCAGAAAGTGTCAGTGTACATAACAAGCCTGTGTATGTGTGGCAGGGATGTGGGTCTCTCTACGCGCCCCAGAGTGTGTGTGACCCAGGGGGTCTGTCTGTAATCAGGGTCTGTGTGGCTGAAAGTGTTAATGGGTGTCACTAGGAATGTGTTTCTCTCTGTTGGGTCCTTGTGAGTCTGGTTCAGTGATGAAGATCTGTGTGTACCAGAGTATGTGTACACAGGTGACTGTGTGTGTCAGGGAGCGGGGTTCTGTGTCTTTTCAGAGATGTGGGTCTGTGTATCGGGCTGTGTTGATGTGTGTGACTAGGTGTGTGTGTGCGCATGTGTGTCAGGGAGGGAGGTCTCTGTGTGCCTGAGGATGTGCCTGGGTACATGTGTGTCTGTCATTGCCGTACTTGGGGGGCTGTATCCTGGGATCCCGCCTATCCGACCCAGCCTTCCCCCTCTGCATCGCAGCCGCTGCCGATGCAAGGCCGTGGCAGAGGGAATCGATACGTCCTTAAAAATTCAAGGGCTTCTCGTAAACAGAAACTTTTAACACCGTTTAAAGTTTCAGGGCCGCCGCTGCTGCCTCCCGGCCACAGCCTCCACCGCTGCAGTCGGAGGGCTTGCGGGAGGAGGCACCGGAGGGGGGGGGGGCGGGTGCCGAGGAGAAGGGGCGGGGCTACATGGGGGGGATGGAGGAGGGGCTGCAGGAGGGCACTGGAGGATATGTGGGACTGAGGGGAGGGACAGGAAGGGGATTTGGGGATCAAGGGGCTGGGGGCTTGGATGGCTCAGGAAAGGGATGTTAGGGATAGGTCAAGGGGGAGGGAGATAGGGAGGAGAGGGGAGCAGGAAGTTGGGGGGGGACAGGGATGGGTCTGGGGGCCTTTGAGGAGGCCCAAGAGAGGCTGGAATGTCTGGGAGAAGGAACTGGGGATATGTAAGCCCAGGAGAGGTTTGGGGTGCCAAGGTGGGGCTTGGATGGCTGAGGGAAGGAGCAGAGGATAAATCTGGGGGGTTATGGGGCCTGGGTGAAGGGGACATTGGAGCAGTGTGGGCCTGTGGGGGGCTGGAGGGGAAGGCAATAGGAAAGGTTTGGGGAGGGGGGAGGAATGGTTGAAGGGTTTGGGGTGTCTGGGATCTTTCATGTAACTGGGGAATTGGGGAGACCTCGAGAGACAGGTGGACCCTCCTTGCCCCTCTGCAAACAGCCATGAAGGGGTAACCCCTCAGAAGCCCCATCAACTTTGGCCCAGTCCTCTCCCCACCTGCCGACCTGTCCTCCCAGCCCTGTTCCACCATCCGTGCCAGGCCCTAGGGCTGGGGTCTGCCCACTCCCCCCTCACCCTCCCAGTCCGCCTCTGGCGCCAAGCCTGGGCTCTGCTTGAACCAGCATCCCATACCCACTTCACACACGCATTCCATTCATCCACACACACACAACACCCATCCTTCCATTCACACACCCTCACACCACAACACCCTCCCTGTGTGCACACACACACCCTCTCTCTTCCTTACACACGGGCACATCCATCCATGTTCCCACAAACAAAACATTTCCCCCATATTCATGAGCATATCCGCACTCAGAATTCTCTCCACGTTGCTCAGACCACCCCCATACCCACAACAAACACCCCCCCACACCATGCACACACATCCACATCCACTCTGCTCCCCCCTCCACAGCTGCCAGCTGGGAGGATTTTTACAGAGAGGCTGAGGGGTTGCTCTGGAAGACACCCGGGCCCCCCCCTCCCCCCACCAGCCCAGGTCTTAGGACCACACCTGGCCTTCAAGAAATCACAGGGGAGAAGGGTGTTGCCGGGGGGCTGTGTACAGCTGGGATGCCACAGCTGGAATCTCCCACATTCCTCCCTGCCGGGGCTGCCCACCTGGCTGCGGCTGGCAGCAGGTGTGTTCTTACAATGCAGGTGTGCCGGGGGAGGAGGAGGGAGGAGTGGGCACCAGGCCCATGGCATTACCCAGCCAGGATGCTGGGGGCAGTAGGAGGCGGTACCAAAACATCTGGGCTCCAGCAGCCAAGTCCTGGGCCACCAAAGGTGGGGCCAGGCAGTGTTGGGCTCCGGGGCAGGTGGGCAGGCCTCTCCTCAGAGGAGGATGAACATCTGGTACACAAGATAAGTCAAGAGCCAGGCTGAGGGTGCTGCCAGGGTCGGGGAGGGGTGCTCTAGGCCCTCCTGGCAGGACTGGGGATCCCCACTCCCCAAGAGGGCCTTATGCCTCTCCTGCCTAGCCTGGAGGACATGGTCTGTGCCCAGGCTGGGGTCCTAGCCTTGTGCTCGCTGCCCCCTCCCTGGGCCGGGAACCTGTAGTGGGGAGTGAAGAGTTACAGCCCCACTGTCAAGGCACCTGCGTCCATGACACACACACACACACACACACACACACACACACCAGACTCCTACAGTCACGTGCACACAGAATCACAAAGACACACACAGGCATGCTCAGACACACAAAGATACAGACCCTCCTCCTCCTCTGGGCGGTCATGTAAAATGGCATAATCACACACAGACACAGGATCACCCAGAAATGCTGTCGCACACCCTTAGTGCACAGACACACAAGCACACAGCTGCAGAGAGAATCCCACACAGATCTCCCCTACAGAGTGACACCAATAACACTCCAGTCACACACAAAGACCTTCACCATCACATAGACCTCCCCCACAGAGACTCAGATTTACACTGACTCACAAAGACAAACCCAGTTATACAGACTCCCAGAATCATACGCTGAGTCCAGTTACGCAGATACACACAAAGTCACACAATTACACAAAGTTTTACAGACCTTTTGAGTCACGTACACAGATGTCCTCAAAATCATCCATAGACGTGGCACACGCAGGGTGCCACAAAGGTGTACAGACACACAGACACACAGGATCATCCACGGTCACAACTGATCACACACTGACACCCAAAAACACACACGGGCATCCCCAAATCACAAATGGGGATACTCAGGCCAGCCCGCAGCTGTGCACAAGGTGGCACAGACACACACTCACACGTGCCCCAGCAGCGCAGCATGGCTAGCGCCAAGGACAGGCAGGCGGCAGGGCTTCCTGTGGCTAACACTCATCTGGAGGCAAGGGAAGGAGCTGGGGAAACATTTCATTTGCAGCCCGCTGGAGACCCACCCCACCCGTCCTGGAA